TACTTGAAATCTGCCTGGTCCACGGCGGGGGGAGGGATGTGCAAGGCAATGCCCTGGTGCAGAAATTAAATGTAATTACGGCTGCAGCTCAGCTTGAATAACCCAACCTCTGCTCCGTTTTCCTTGTTCCGCAGAATGCGGAGGCCTCGGGCTGCGGCTTGCCCGTCCCGTTTCCTCGGGCAGGGCTTGGCCAGGTGATCCCCGCTCGGCAGCGCTGGGCTCGGGGCCTCGCCTCGTTTGTGGTTTTGCTTCGTGTTTAAACGGAGTTTTCCTTCGCGCCTGCGCAAGCCGCGGCGCAATGGCAGGCGTTGCTTTGGGGTCGAGATGAAGTCCTGTCCCGCAGAGCCCGCGGCCGCTGCCCGCCCCTTGGAAGGGTGCCCTCGCTTCTGGGAAACACCTTTATTCCCCCGGCGCGGTGGCCGGCCGGTGGACGCGCTCAGGTGGCCTTTGGACCGCGGGCGGCACGAACGGCCGACTTCTGTCGCTTTTCCCTTTGCTCCACCGATGTCCCGCGAATCCTTCCATGGGGTATCCTGTCCTTGAGTGTCTTTAATCCCTACTGGTGGTCTGCGTGGCGAACGGTTACGAGTTGACGAGCTGGTTACGAGTGTTTAAACACAAACTCTATTTAATGGGCACTGCTGAGCGCTGGCCGCTTCGTTCCCCTTTCGGTCTGAGGGGCCGGGGAGCAGTTTATGCAAAGTGCAATTTCTATTTTAAGTGCGGTGAAGGAAGAGGGATGTATCTGAAACGCCACGAACCGTCCGGAGCGCCTGTGCTGTTTGGGGAGCGGTGGGAGGTGGAAACACAAGACGGACCTGCTGCAGATCTCTGTTCAGGAGCTCTGCAAGCGTTTTGGGGGAGTCTGAGGCTGCGAACTCTTATAAGCAGAGCAAGCGAAGCACAGAGAAGCCGAGTGACCTGAAGGACGAGCCAGCACCGTCACTGCGAGAGGAGCCGCGGCCCAGGCCATGGCCTTGTTAAATCCCTTTGTTCCCAGATGAATTTCCAGATCATTTGGGTGCCTGAAGCAGAAAGCAATTGCGTAAGGGCTGCAGTTCGTAAGGAGCAGCCAGGGCCTGTGCAGGGGCCCGGGCTGCGCCGCGGGGCTGAGCCGGGGTGGTTGGAGCCGCAGCCGCGGCTTCGGGGCAGCCCCCAATGGGTAAGGTGTGCGGGGCTGGGCTGCTGGAGGGCGCAGCTGCCTTGCGGTGTTCCCCCGAAGAGGGAAAAGCAGCACTGCTGCTGGAATTGCATTGCTCCGAGGCCTCTCTGATCTCTGGGGTTTGAGATGGAAACAGGTGCAACCTAAAAGCTGCTGCAGGTCCCTTGCACAGGGGGTGGGTTCAGCCCAGATGCTCCTTGCTGACCCTGGGAGGCTTCCCTCCGTCCCGCAGCTCCGTCCATCTCTGCCCTTCCCTGCACTCCCAGTGCTGGCCTGCTTTGCTTCCCAGACACCGGACAGCCGGCAGAAGTCCGCGAGGCCGGCCATCGCCCACCGTGGGCTTGAAGCCCCCGCTGGGGGTACGAACATCCACGGGAGCCTGGGTGCCTTCTCCCGGGCCCAGCTGCTGCCCGGTTCCTGCTTGCACCAACTTGTGGGTGGCTGCCTCGCGTTAGGGGGTGGTTTCGGATTTATTCATGCCCATTTGAGCCCTTGGTATTTTTAAACTTGTAGAGCAAGCCTTCCACTCCTGCCCTCTCCTAAACGAAAGTGCCTGCATCCTGAGCCCTCTCTGGCTCGCAGCCACCCGGCTCCCGAGCCCGCCAGCTCCCGCGGGCCGCTCTCCAGGCGGTGGCATTTGCATGGACCTCAGACCAGCAAGGGCTTTTGTGGGGGTGGTGAAAGCAAACCAGCGAGCAGCAGCAGATGGTTGTGTTATCAGGTGCTGCAGTCCTGTCTGCACCTGCTTGCAGTGCAGTTAAAAGTGTTTGGGTTTTTTTATTTTTAAAGGAGAAATGCATTTGGAAAGGACGGAATGGGACATGGCCGGCTTCAGCCCTCCCGCTGCCTGTGGGCATGGCAGCCCCTGGCTTCCCCTGCCCGCCTGGATCCCTCGGAGCCGCGCTGGCAGCCCCGCGCTGGCGGTGCTGCTCCCCCAGCCCCGTGTGTGGGTTATGAGGTGGGGCGTAATTAGCGGGGCTGGGAGGGAGGAGGGCTTGCACGGAGCAGGGCTGGCTAATCGGGAGCTAGGCATGCTCCGAAAAATGGCCTTGGAAGGAGGATCCGTGCTCCAGGACTCGTGACCTTTGAGGACTTTCTCAGGCTTTTCTCGCCTGCTGCGAGGGCTGAAGTTTCCATACCCGGCCCCAGCTGCACCTGGGTTTTGCCCGGGGTTGCTTTGCTCGCTGGGCACCGTGCTCCCGTCCTGGCGAGCTGGGAGGGGAGGGAGGCAGAGCCCCATCAAAGAGCAGAGCGCGCCTGTCAGAGCTCCGAGTGACCTCAAATAAAACCAAGGGGCTTTGAGCATCCCTGTGCCTAAGAAAAGCCACCTGGTGCATTCACGAGAGGCTGATTAACTGGGCAAATCCCTTCCTAGAAGTCGAAGTGACAAAACCCCCAGCACCTCCCCAGGGGAAGCGGGAGCTGCCTGGGATGCCGATGCCAGGAAGGGCTCCTCGCACCATCCCTTTTTGCATCCCGAAGGGAATCTGCCTTGTCCAAGCAGAGCAGTTCAGCAGCCAGGGGCTGGTGGGTGCGCCGAGGAGGAGCCAGAGCGGACGGCGGCTCCGTCTGCCCCGCTTCAGGGCAGGGCCCCCCCCAGAACACCCCCGTCAGCCGGAGAAAGGTGAATCAAAGGCTGCTCTTACTCACTCGTGGCTTTACCGGAACGGCTGCTGCTATTCCAGCTCGGAAAATAAACCCTGTCCTAATAAACAGTGATTCACGTTGCCTGGAGTTAAAAATAAGGTCCTGTCGGCTGGGAACCCAGGTGCTCTCTTCCTGGGGGCAGATCCCAGGGCTGCTGCGGGTTTCTCTGTCCCTCGCTCCCATCCTTTTCCCCATCTTCCTCTGGAGATGGTCGGGTTTGTTCCAGCCTGGCCGCATCCTGCACACGGAGCCTGAGCGCCGCTGGGAGCCCGGCTGCCTGTGTTGCTCCTCTCCAGGTTTCTGAGAAAAGGATAGGTGGTTTGTTCCTTCCTTGCTTTCACCGGGATTTTTTCCGGTGCTGGCAGAGCTCAGACGAGCCCTGGCCCCTCTCATCCTGCTCAGCCTCTGTTTTCATCAGCCCAGGGGCGCTGGCTCCAGCCCCTTCCTGGCACCGGTGCCGTCGCGCAGGGAGGTGCTGGACACAGCCCCAGCCCTGGTTCCCGGCACTGGCTCCCCAGCAGCGGCACTGGAGGAAGGAACTGGGGTGGGGGCCAGCAGCGCTCGGGGCCGGGTCCCCTCTCGTCCGGGGATGGAGCGCCCTGGCCTGCGGGTCCTGGGCCGAATGCCGCGGCTTTGTCCCCGCTGGAGCCTCCTGGTCCCCCGAGTCCCTGCAGGCAGCCTGGGCTGTGCCCCAGCTCCCATCCAGGGGTGGGGAGGGACGGCGGGTCCCCTCCGGCTGGGAGATGGACGCAGGGAGCTGGCACGTCCCCGGGAAGCACTGGGGGCTTTTCCAGCCCCGCTCCAAGGGGCTGGGAGCCAAGCTTAGGGTGCAGCGTGTCCTTCCCCCCGCCCGCTGCGGTGCCACCTTCGCAGCCCCCGGGGATGGAGGGGGGCCGGGGGCTGCCCCTGCGGAGCGCTCAGCCCTCGGGAAGGGGAGAGGGCAGCGGTAAAAATAACCCCTGGGCCGGCTCCAGCCCGTTGTGGCTTCCTGCGATTTACAGCCCTTCCCGGCGGGAAGTGGAGGCAGGATCCGGCCTGGCTGGGGGCTGGCGTTGACCCTTTCGCCACCAGCGGAGAAGGTGCCAGAAGGAGCCTTCCTCCCTCCTTCTCCCGCACTGGCCGGGGCAGGATCCTGGGGAAGGGGATCGTGGTGGGCTCCTGCTCCTGAGCTGCACCCACCATCTGGGGGGGTGTCGAAGGAGAAGCTGCCGGCGTGGGCATGGTTTCCCTGTCCCATTCCTGATGCCCCATGTGCTGGGAGGACAGAGAGACTCAGTCCTGCCTGGGAGGAGGCAGGGATCTCTGCTGCGGATCCCGAAATCCCGGCCAGGCTCCCGTGAAGAGGAGGAGGGAGGAGGAGAGCTGGCAGAGGTGTTAAGGCGGGTTACTGCCGGCCGGGCAGGGGCAGAGCCCCGGGTGTGAAGGCTGCAGCAGGGGCGGGGGGCCATGCTGGCAGGGAGGGCACAGGGCCGGCTCCTGCTGACGGAGCTGGGCTGGCAGGGGTTAACAGGGTGGCTCTTCCTCTTCCTCACCCTCTATATGAGGCTTCTGCCGGCTCTGGGCTCAGTTTGCTGCCGGCAGCCAGAGGGACAGGAGCTGAGTGAGACAGGAGCATCCCTGCATCCCATCGGCGCATCCCTGCATCCCATCCCTGCATCCCTGCGTGGGCTCAGGTGAGCAAGAGCATCCTCCACCCGCCGAGCCCAGCGGCCGGGCACGGATCCTGGCAGCGGGACTGGGCAGTCGCATCCTGGGCACCCTGGCTCTGCCGGGGCAAAGCCAGCGATGGGACCCCCGCGAAGCTCTGCCCTGCACTGGGGGCGGCTGGGGACCTCATCCCAAACCGCGTGCCTCAGTTTCCCCATCTGTACACTGGGGTGGATGCGGTGTCAGAGCCCGTGGGCTGTGTGTGTGGAGGTGCGTGGGCAGAGGGCTCCCGGGCCGTTTGCTCTGTAACGAGCCCTGCTCTGCCCGGCCCCATGTCCCTGCTGTCACCTGGGGAGGCTGCGGAGCTGGGTCAGCCGCTGGCGATGCGGCGGCTCTTCACGGCCGTTTGGGTCTCTTCTGCTCAGCGAAACCATCTGCTTCGGGCGTTTACAGCCCCCAGCTCTGGCTCCAGACCCCCCTCCCCTGCCACCCGCCTTCACCGCCAAATTCACAGCCCCGGTCGGTCCCGCATGGATGCTCGGGTATGGCTCAGCAAGAGCCATCGCACCCCAAGGCCGATAAAAGCCCCTTTGCTCCATGCCCCCCACGCATCGAGCAGGAGAGGTACCTTCCCTCCCTGGCAGCCGAGCTCAGCCTGGCTGCGGGGAGCACGGCATGGGGACCCCAAAACGTCCCCCTGCCCCGCTGCCGTCATGCGCGGGCCCGGCCAGGGCAGCTCGCCAGCTCTCCTGTGCACGGGCTTTGTTCTGCTCTCCCTGAGCTCGGAAAGATAAGGCGGCCAGCTCCGGTATTTTTTCCTGTTGGAAGCCGCTCCTGGGATGCGGGTGAAGCCGGCGGATGCTCGGCGCTTCTCTCTTCCTGCCCGCGGACTGTTCCTGCCTGGGCTGGCAGGGCTCGCTGCCTGCTGCCTGCCTGCTTGGCTGAGGGCAGCGCTGCCCTGCCACGCGTGGGGTGGGATCGGGGGGACCCCTGGCTCCGCTTCGCCCCCCCATTCTCTCCTGCCACTGCTGCACCCTCGGTTCCAACCCCGTCCCTCCTCTCTCCTCCCAGGGCCGAGCTCAGGAGCCAAGCGGAGCTTTGGGAGCCTCCCCGGCCGCAGCACCGGACCCCCTGCAGCCACCCGCCGGGGAGCAGAGCGACCAGGGCTGCCGTTTCGGGGCTGGGGGACGATGGTGCCCCTGGGCAGCCCCCCTCTCGCCGTCTGTGCCTCCAGCAACCTGCGCCTCGTGACCCCCGGCCGCGGCTCCCCCCTGGCCTGGCTGAACCGGGGCCCCGAGTGCCTGCGGGAGCCGGGGGGCGGCGGGGGCCGTGTGCCCAGCGCCGTGGAGCGGCTGGAGGCCGACAAGGCCAAATACGTCAAATCCCAGCAGGTCATCAACAGCCGGCAGGAGCCGGCGCTGCGGGGCTGCTCGCCCCGGCTCTCCCCCCGCGGCCGGCGCCTCCTCGCCCGTCAGCAGTGCAATGAGTTGTGTCAGGGCTCGGAGCTGGGCCGGGAGGGCCCCCGGAAGCTGCCGTGCCCCCAGTCCCCCGTGTCGCGCCGGGCCGGCGGCAGGCGCCTGCTGAGACCTGACTCCCTCATCATCTACCGGCAGAAACGGGACTGCCCAGGGGGGGACAAGGAGAACGCCAAGGGCTCCGGGCTGGTGCGACGCCTCTTCCAGGGACCCCTCAGAGACAAGCCCCCCAGCTCCCCCCCAGCCAGGGGGCTGGATGAGGGGCCACCAGCCCCCCAGAGCCCCGAGACCGCCATGCTGTGGGTGCCCATGGAGAAGGAGGAGGTGCGGACACCCGGTGCCGGCAGCGGCGGTGGCAGTGGTGGCATCTTCCCTCTGCCCAGCAGCCCGGTGGCGCAGCCCCCCCAGCCCCCCAGCAAGCAGGCGCTGGCTCTGCGCGTCTCTCTGCCGCTCTCGGAGAAGGAGCGATTCTTCAACTACTGCGGGCTGGACCGGGCGCTGGTGGAGCTGCTGGGGCGGGAGCGGTTCGGGCCGGCGGGCTGGGACAACGCCTCAGCTCGGTTCCCCGGATCCTGCGAGTCGGAGCCCGGGCAGGCCTCGGAGGGCAGCGAGGGGGACGCGGGGCCGGGCGAGGAGGAGCTGGACACCCGGCTAGGCTCTGCCGTCTCGGTGGTGGAGCGCAATGCCCGCGTTATCAAGTGGCTCTACGGCTGCCAGAGAGCCTGGGCGGCTGCCAAGGAGTCCACTGTCTGAGCGGGGGACGGGGACATCCACATGGGTCCCACTGGCTGGATGTGGCCCCTCGCCCTCGCTGGATGTGGCCCATGGACTGGTGGCATCCTTGGTCCCAGCACCGTGGGGCTGCTGCTGGCCAGGAGGGCCACCAGGTCTACCCTGGCCGCGGGGCTGAGGGCAGCGGGGGCACCTGAGGGGCAGGCGGGGAGGGTGTCTGAGCGGGGGACGGGGACATCCACATGGGTCCCACTGGCTGGATGTGGCCCCTCGCCCTCGCTGGATGTGGCCCATGGACTGGTGGCATCCTTGGTCCCAGCACCGTGGGGCTGCTGCTGGCCAGGAGGGCCACCAGGTCTACCCTGGCCGCGGGGCTGAGGGCAGCGGGGGCACCTGAGGGGCAGGCGGGGAGGGGGCCCCCTTGGGTGAGTCTCTCCCTGGCCCCGGGGTCTAGCAGGCGGCTGCCCCCCACTGCGGCCCCTCTTCTCCATCCTCCCTCTCTCCAGCCCAGGGCGGTGGGACGGGGCTAGCCCCCCGCCACGGCCAGCGCCTGCCCGCAGCTCCCTCCTCCCTGAACACGGGGCTGCTGGGGCCCGAGCAGCGCTCAATAAACCTGGTATTTTGTTTTCTAGCCTGGCGGTGTGTGTGGCTCAGGCGGGCAGAGCCCAGGACGGCGGGGAATGCTTCGGGACTGGGGGTGGCAGCTCCCCATCCGCATCCCCATCCCCATCCCCACCGCGGGGCCGTGCTGCTCCGGGGCCAACGGGGCTGCCAGGGCGGGGGCGAGGGTGAAGAAAGCACCAGGCAGGGCTCGGGGCAAGGGGCGCCTCGGGGTCTTTAGTGCAGACACGTCACCGAACCCCACCGCGGAGCCACCCGGCGTGGGCAGGGGGCTGCCTGCCAGCGGTGGGGCTTCGCCCGCGCTGCTGGAGAGTCCGGCCGGCGCCTCCTCCCCTAGTTGCCCTTGGGGGCATTTTTATTGCGGATTTCGGCCAGTTTGCCGGCCAGGAAGCCCCAGTGGAAGGCCCCTTCCTCCGGCTCCCGCAGGTCGCTGCCATCGTCGCCCGGCGGCTCCCCGGGGCTCTCGCCCGGCTCCGGGGGGGGCACCCCCTTCTCCATCCCCGACGCCTGCTGCCACTTGGTAGCAAAGAGATCCCAAAAGCCGGGTGCCTGCTCGGAGGGGGGTGGCTTGGGCGGCGAGGCGGCCAGCGGGCTGGGGAGAGAGCGGGGACGGGGATGTCGGGCTGGGGACCCTTCTCACCAGGTCCCACAGTGGCCAGGACTGGGACCCCCAAGCCCCCCAGGTCTCCTCTCCATGCCGGCTCCTCCAGCCGCTCCCCAGCCCAGCCCCGTGGGTACAGGCAGGGGAGGGGGATGCAGGCGATGGGACGGGAGGATGCGGGGGCTCAGCAGCTCCCGGGGGCCGGATCCAGGCTCTGGGGTCCCCCCCACCGAGCTGCAACTTACTGGTCTGCGCAGGGCTCCGGGCTGAGCAGCTGGTGCTCGTCCTCACGGGCGAAGAGGGACGAAAGCGTCCGCCA